ACCCCCCCCCCCCCAATGAACCTACTCCATGACGTTCTATAAGCATGACAAAGCAGGTTTAGAGCTATGAGTAGGCTAACACTACTCACCAGTTTGCACTGGATGAGGCACAAACTTCTTGAGATCAACACGGACGTCCTGAGAGTCTTCAGAGATGTACTCCAGTCTGCCCATCACGATGATTGCAAACTTGTACTACAAAAGAAAAAAGTAAAGATATATTAAAATAAACAAGTCAATATCAAAATGCTACAGACAGGTAAAACAGAATAGCTCTAATGTACAGTGAAATGTCAGGACTGCCAAGGTTCCTGATCATAGAGTCATAAAAACATACATCTTGCTGCCTTTAAAATGGCTACACTACTTCAGAAACTGAGAAAGTTTAGTTTGAGTAAGAGTTTTTCGGCACTTGCAATACAATAGGGTCATGTAAGTGTCGAAGATTAGAGGTGTTACAAGAGAGTAACAAACACAAAAAAGGAGGGGAGATAGAGACGATACATTTTTTAATAGGAAAGGAGCAAACCACACCAGAGCACCCGCCAACCACCCACAAACTGAGAAGGAGACAATAGCAAAACTGAAAATACATATATAACAGTTCACACAACAGCATCCACTGACCACCCATGGACACTATGGTGCCTGTCCAAGCAGAGAGAGATAAGAAGAAAAAGAATACAAATCACTCAAGACACGATGATCAAAAGAGATTATCATGATCATAAGTGACCATTCACTCAAGGTGAAAATGTAACTGCACGATTCTCGGAGCCTAGAAAAAGCAAATTGTCGACATTCAGTAAGTAAACATTTATTTCACAGCAACTGTTCATCACTTGTGGAAAAACATTACTCTTTTCTAGTTGAGACTAGGAAAAGAGAAGAACTCTGACACGATAACAGCCAATCAGTACAGGGAAGAGTAAAGGAAGACAGGCAGAAATTACAGGGGGGAAAGGAAAGTAAGACTTGCCAGTGGCGCCCTGCAACCACTAGCCACACAATCACATTAAAAAAATTAAAACCAAACACACCAAAACGGCGATAAACCAGATGGAACCACATAACTTTTTTTTTTAGTAGAGGTTTTACAGCGCTCGCTACTACATACGGTCAAATGAGCACCAAGGGGTTGATGTCAACAGAGAAGTCCTTACAGGGAATCAGACTTACTCTGCTCACTTCTTTAGCTTCAATAGTAAAAAGTTTGCTTCCACTTTCAAGGCACCCTGAAAATAGCGGGTCACAAGAGTGTGACAAACATACAAAAGAAGTAGAGGAAAATGAGATAGGATGAGGAAAGGAAAAGCAGCAGTTCCCAGTTGTAGTTCAGGCACAGTTGTGACATTGTTGGATCAGCCCATTTACAATTCCAATGTGCATTAGAACGAGAAATGACCTCCCTTTGGGAATGACCTAAAGACACTTCAGTCTGTGGTACCGCCCTGCGGGGTTACCCCCGAAACTAAACAAAGGCAGAAACAATATGTGTCATGACACGGCGGAATCAGGCTCTCATCAATTTTTTAAAAAAAAGTAGAGATTTTACGGAGCTGGCAACTGCTTAAGGTCATATGAGTGCCAGAAGAATAGAGGTGTTACAAGAGAGTAACAAACATAAAAAAGAAGAAGGGGAGACAAGGACGATAGATGTTTGATAGGAAAGAAGAAGCAAACCATACCAGTACCAGAGCACCCGCCAACCACCCACCATCAGTTTTTGGGCATGTAGAGTTATTGGTATCATCTTAAATATTGTTAATTTGTCTTGCTTTGGATACCCCCCCCCCCCCCCCTTAAAATACCCCCCCCCCCCCAATTTTCTTGAACAGAAGTCAAGATATTTACGAAATAAGGAGGTGGGGGGGTCACCTGGTTTCAGAGGAAAAATTAATAGGAAAATGGCCGCCAAAGATGAGTTATTTTCTTAGCCTGAGAGTCTGTGGAAACTGAAAATTTACATTCTTTGTGCCTTTAATCAAAGTTTTTCAGTCAAATAAAAATTCACAAACCTGCGAAAAAAAGCCAGTTTCTTCACTTTGATTATTTTGACGAGCACCTGATTTTACCACACTACCTCAAATAAATTTATGAAAAGAAAAACCTTTGCAGCAAGAAATGCACATGACAAGAACAACCATCCACAAAACTAACAGAAAAATGACTTGTTCTCATACCTTCTCGAACTCTTTCTCAGGAATATCAAGTTTCTTCTGTATTCTCTCTTTCACATCACTGAACAGTTCATTCTGTTGAGAGGCAATACAAATATTTCCAAAGATATAAAAAGCTACCATGATCATACTTACAAATTTAAAAACCTCCAATAGTGGACATTGCAAAGGATTTAAGATCTGAGAGAACACAATTCAAATATCAAATTAACCAGTAAACAAATAAATATGCATGTTCTTTTTAAAAAACTAAAAGAATGCTACTAAAGCAATAAAATCTTTTTCTTTTTAAATCTAAAAAATAACATTTACAGAGCAAAAACTAAATTCAGTTCTGGTACTTACATCTTTGATTTTCAGAAGAAAAGGGATGCCAAAGGTCTGGTACATTTCCTGAAGTAGAGTGAAAAGGTCATCAAATTAACTAACAAAAGAAAAAATAAAATCCACAAACAGAAACAATCAATTAAACCTTTCTTTTGTTTGTTTGAGTAAAGAGAACTATGTAGGTACAATTTTGGCTTTTCAATAAAAAAAAAAAAGGCAAGATACAACAGAGGAAAAGTAAAGAACAGGCATGGACAAGCGTATCCAAATTTTGGGCCGGATTAAGCAATTCAGAACATCTCAAGGGTCAATGCAGAAGAAAACTGGGTGAAATCACTTGAACTACCAAGATCTCACAAGTGAGACTAAAACTGACACTATAGCATCATATTTATGTCAAGCAAATGTATTTCATGAGATAAAATATAAGTAACTCAATAATAAGCAGAACCCAGACCCCCCCCCCCCCCCCTCCCCCTCGCAATTTTCTTGGACAAATTTAAGTCTTTAGTACTTTATATATATTATGTCTTATTTTTCAATAAATACTCCGAGCTTAAAGTGAGTAGTGAGTTTTCAAGATATAATAGAAAAGGTAGAACGTGGGGAAAAAAAAAAAAAAGGACTTGCTGACATACTGATGTCTTCAAACCCAGAACTATTATACAAATAACCATAACTCCTAAGACTGCCACAGACCTCCTGGAGATATCCAGCAAATGTAACCTCAAAAGTGAGTACAACCAGTAGGCTACCTTCTGAAAATGAGCGACAGGAATGAGCAACTCATCAGTGGGTATGTTCATCTCCTCGGCAGGGACCTCTTCGATACGGTACGTTTTGGTCCCGCCCACCACTAGGTGGTCCAGCGCAAGGTCCTCCTTTTGTACAGCCAGGATCTTGTAGCTGATGATCTCTAGTAGCCTGCCAGGGGCATGGGAGGAAAAAAAGGATTAAATCTGAATCTGCACTTTACTGAAGAATTATGCACATCTCAGAAGTAGTTTCACAAAACCGGAAATCTTTTTCTTAAAAACACTTCCAGAGGGCAAACGATGCACTTCCTCATGTTTAAGACTTCAAAAAGTCTTCAATCCTGATGTATATTTGCCGCTTAATTTTATTGAAATATTCAAAACTTAAAAAAAAAAAAAAAAAAGAGAGAAAGAGAGAGTCAAGTACTGACTAAACATCATAACAAAAGCAAAAACATCTTGGCTTGAGACACTGATTGATGTAGTGTGGCAAAAAAAGTACCTTAGTTTCCCTGAGCCATTTTCACAAAGCTCCACTTGTTTCTTGGCCTCCTCTAACAAGTCTTGCACTTTGCCGTTCTTGTTTGGGTACAGCACCAGTTCTCTCTTGATAACGAATACATACAAAGAAACAGATGAATTCCTGTGTAAACATTAAGTTCGATACTCAATGTTAGCCAAATCACGGTTTCAAGGGACAAAAGTTGTGATAACGTCATAAACTTTTGTGATAACGTCATAAACTTTTGTAAGTTTGTTAAACTGAAAGACAAATGAATGTGACAATATGGACATTTTTATGAGACAACAAAGGACCCCAACAATGTTTTGTTTGCATTCAACAAAAGATTTTAGACAATTTTTAGCATCATAAAGCTCTGAATCAAATATCATTATTAAAAAAAAAGACCCACATAACAATTTATGTTTTCAAAGCCTTTAAAAACAACCTTTTATAAAATAAATTAAATTAAGAAAAGTGCTTAACCTATCGCAACTTCAATGCTTACTTGTCGTATCTCTATTTTTTTAAACAGTGAAAACAGTTCACAACAAAGAGGGAGCTTAACTCTTTCTAGACGTATTGCCGATATATTGCACGAGTCCACACCCCTTGCGGACGTACTGCCGATATAACGGCTGTGATAGGGTGCCTCAGTACTGTTTCGTTTTAACACGATCCGTCATTTATAATTACTTTTTATTGCTATTGAAAAACTCAAAGGATTTAGGAAACAAAAACCATCTAGTTTCGCTTTGTCAAAGCATGGGTTTAGGAAAAAAAGAGTGAATTAGTTCTTGTGGTCTTGCATCAACAAAACGATGTAACCGAACTCAGTATAAATATCGTAACTCAAACAAAAATCGGAATATTGCTTTAAAAAAAAAAAGCTGCGCATTAAGAAATTTATGGATTACGCTCTTGGCCTGTATATGATAGATAGCTATGCTGATTTGCTTTCACATATTTGGTGAATATAATTTTTTCCGTCAAAATTTATTTTTCTCATCACTATCACCATTTCTAACCCTTGTAAGGCATACTTATGTTCAAAATTAATCCTTGTTTTCATATTGTGATGTATTCCTCATTCAATTTCCTTCAATTTGATGTATCATATGTTACGTTTGGAGTGATGGTTATGCTTCTATGAAGTTATTTTGTACACCACCTGCATAGCCAAATCGAGCCACAAGTTTATGTCTAGACCCCCAAAAAACTACGTCCGGAAAGAGTTAAGAAGTCACACTTTCAATGTAAAAAAAAAAATGGAGATACGACAAGAAAGCACTGAGGTTGCGCAATGCAACCACATACCTCCTCCTTCATCTTGCTGTTGAGCCATAACACTTTGAATTGCTTCTTGTTTTCCAGTTCATTGATCTTCATGTCCAACTGAGGAATGCAATATTACAAAAAGGAGTTATTATGTGTTTTGTTAAAGAAAACCATGCAGAAAACTCAGCAATGAAAGATACCATGGACGAAATGGAGAAAAAAGGCACCCCCCCCCCCAAAACAACAAAAAACAAAAACAAACCCCCAAGCGCTTATGATTGCCGAGCGGGTTGTATTATATTGCTTTCATTCTCTTGAACTTCAGCCTACAACACACTATTCAAAAAAGAAAAATCTTTTCACCAATACATTTTCTATTATTCTACGTCGGTGTAATTTCTTGTGTGATCAGTGTGGACTGAAAGAATTGCTAAAGCAAATGATAACAAAATTGGTTCTAACGACATCCTTATCGGGCAGTACCCAGATTATGAAGGTGAAAAGCAAACATAGCCCAAGGTCTTTCATAGATACAACATGCTTGATGATATCAAACAAGGTACCAATAACCAATGCATAATTCCCTGCATGATAACTATGATGAAATCAATCCCTCCCCTCCGGCCCCAGGAAAATACGAAACTTTAAAATTCTTTTCTCACCTCCACGTTCAGAAACCTGGAAGATGTATGCCATGGTTTTATTATTCCCAATCAAAACTTCTACATAAACTCTTCAACATGTGAATGTTGTTGAGTCAGCAGCTTTAGGCTACAATCACTCTATGCCACAAACAGATTTGGAAAATCATAACATGGAAAAAAGTAAATGGCGCAGACCCCACCATAGCGTCCACAACCACCTACATTAACCCATGAAGGAAAAGTACTGTCCTACACCCCAGGCGGGTTACAGGAGAGAGTTGGGACTGTCCACAGAATGACTCTCGGTATTACAACGGATGCTTACCTGCTGGTAGTAGAGTTTCTTCGGTTGTCTCGGTTTAGAGTAAACTAGGAGATCCCTCAAATTTCCCTCATAAGTGCACTTGACTGGGTTCCCTGGTCCATCCCTATACCTGAGTCACACACAAGTTTGAAGAGAGAAAACAGTAAGGTCAGTTGAAATTCATGTTTTTCACTAGAAACATAATAGTGGTCTCCACCTAAAAATCTGGTCCTCAGAAGGCAGAACCCCCCCTCAGGTTCTTAGGCGGATTTCATAGGCACAACTTAGCCCCTACCTGTTCACTTCCCTTGTATATCGTGATAATTAGATAATAACCCACAGGCAGTGAGAAAATAGAGGTTTGCTTTTTAAATATAATCAATTGTTATGCGTCGTGCTGAAATCAGGCGCTGCCAGTTTTGAAATTTTTTAAAACTTTCTTTTTTGTGCTCAACACCTTGTACGCCCATTAAAAAACATTCTTAAGTGTGGATTTTATGAAAAAAGGTTGTTCAAAGGCATGAAACATGAAAATTTTTAGTTTCCAAGGACTCTTGAGGTACGGAAGTCACCAAACCATGGCGGCCATTTTCTTGTTAAGTTTACTTCAGAAACCCCACCTCCTTCAAAAGCAAATAGCTCGACGTCTATTCAAGATAATTAGACATCTTGTCCATCAAATGCAAGGAAAATGAACAACCTCTAAGATGATACCGATAAATTGATACACCAAAAAATTGATGAGTGCCTGATTCTATCACTTCGTGACACAAATGTATCTGTCTGCATGTCTGAGAAGTGTACACTGTCTTGGGTGCAAGTCAAAATCAGGGGCGTCAAAATTTTAAAAATACTTTAGCAAGTTTTAAGACACTTGCAACACAAATATACATATTTTACGTGCTGGAGGTTATTGGTGTCACTAGAGAGTTACATAAAAGAAAAGAAGAAAGAGATAAGGATCCTGATGTTGCATAGGAAAGAAAGAGCAAGCCACACCAGAGCACCTGTCAATCATCCACAAAAGGAATTATTATGATGCAACATTGTATGATTCAAAAGGGCACTGAAACTATGAAACAGCACTCGTTGCAACCCTGCGTTTTTGAAGGGAAAAATGACCATGAATGGGCGGCCTTTTATAAGACAATCGGATGCTGTGATCACGTGAGACGAGCAAACTTTTTGTACCAATAGAAAACCCGTAAGTGATTGACCCCACATAGGATTCTTATGTGTCCCTAAAAATATGTTCTGAAGAAAAGTGAATCATCACAACATAGCGTTGAGATTCGCTTCCAGCAAGTTAACACCCTCTCAACACCACCTCAGCTTGCATAATGAGTGGCAAAGCAGCTCTGAACAATTTTTTTCCCTGCGCCCAAACCAGGTTCTTGGACAGATTTTTATTTTCAGACAGGTTCTTGAGCACTAAAATCATAAATTAAAAAAAATTCCGTTTCACAGTAAAAAAGGGCTTTTGGGCAGAGACAAAGTACTAAAATTGAAACATTCAAAGTAAGAAGGAAATGCAACTTAAACATCTACCAAATACAAAAGGGAACCCAAAGTCAATTACACAAAATTGAGTATTTACCATTGAACCTAGAGGAAACAATCCTCACTCAAAATGACAGTCACCATAACTGAAGAACAAAAGTCTCCAATGATTAATGATAAAATTTAAAATCTAAACCGGGAGTTTTATAAAAAAAATAATTTTAAAAAAGAGACAACTTCAAGTACTCACCCTTGACATTTAAAGAATTGCAGCTTATAGGGATCCGTACTCAAGTGATGCGCAACGGCATTGGCCATCTGGTCATAGTTCATCTTCTGAGACAGATCCAGGGTGAAACCTGAGTCATTGGCTACAGATTTATCACAGAACGTCACCTCCACTTGATAGAAAAGATCCCTGCAAAAGACAAGACAGTCATTGCTCACTGGGTAATCTTGCAGAGAGAGAGAGAGAGCTGAGAGAGAGCTGAAAATTCAGTGGCAGTGCACCATCCCAGTCTCATTTTCACACTAACAGAAGCAGTAAAACAGAAGTTTAAGAGGCCAACAATATCTGAACAACCACCAAACTTTTGCTCAATGGGGTAAAGATTTATGTTCTGTTTTGCCCCACAAAGAAGAAATGAGGCAATGAAAATTAACTGACTGTAGAATATTTCAAAATAAGATTGTCTGTACATAGCGATTATGATTAACAGTCTCTGATTGTGAAAGTGATATATCTAGCATCTGTGTTTGTTGTCTTTTTTTTGTCCAAAAGTTGCCATTAATTTTCAAGTTTTCAACTCTCTGTGGCGACGTATATAGCAATATGTTGATTCATTTGCAGCCATACAGAGTGTGTAGTTTTAGTAGAGTTTTACGGCGTTCGCAATTGTATAAGGTCATATGAGCGCCAGAAGATTAGAAATGTTACAAGAGAGTAACAAACATAAAAAAGAAGGGGAGATAAGGATGATAGACGTTTTACAGGAAAGAAGAACCACACCTCACCAGAGCACCCACCAACCAACAACACACAGAGTGTAAAAACGTGAACAATAAAGGTATCACAACAGAATGAAATCAAAATTAAAACTGCAAATAAACAACCACAAAAATTAACAAATAAGGGCGTGTGTCAACAACCCATCCATAGACTGGCCGTTTTATACCCTAAACGTGGGTAATATTATTCAAGAAAAAGCAGAGGATATTAGATGTAAATTCTGGAATCACACGCAAGGGGCCTACCAGTGTCAGTATTCGTTTTTGGTGGCGACACGCTGCAACACAACTATAACACATTTTTTTTTAAAGATAGGAAGAATTTTACACTATATAAACAAACACACACACACAAAAGAAAAACAACACATCGGAACAAAAAAGAGAAAAAGAAATTAACACACCAACAAAATAAAACACAACAAAGAGGGAAACATGAAAGAGAAACAGCAATATAAATAGTATGGAATGTTGCCCACTTATATTCTTCATATGAAAATTACAAATCAACGTAGTGTTAACAAGTGAGAAAGAGACGAAGTGCAGCGAAAATAAACTTTCTTTCTAAAAGTAAAGAGGTTTTGTTTCTTTTTTTTCATGAATATTATTCCCAGATTTTGTTGTTTTTAATTTATTTTTTCTTCCCGGCGGTGTTTTTTGTTGGAAAAATGCAAAAATCGTGGCCGCGACGAACGCAGATGCTAGATATATTGAGATTCTTTTTTCTACAAATTTCTGTTATTGCTACATAACAGACAAGTTGGAGCGATTTTGAGGACTATAAGGTTAGTAAGTCAGATCTTTCAAATCACACGAGCTCATTGCTTGAGTCATTGTTAGATTGTTCTGACTTCTGCTGTCCACAGGTGCAAGATAAATTTTTTCCATGTGGACAGTGAAAGGATCTTACTTTATCTTCTATTTACGAGAACAGAACAAAATACATCTCAGGTTAGTTACAATTAGGCCCAATATGACAATTTCTATCAGAAGTAACTAGCAAACTTGACAATAAAAAGCAGACAGGAGCAGGCACCTGAAGTACTCCTTGGGAGTGGGCAGGGGATACTGAGTGAGATCCTCTTCCTCTCTCTGAAAGACGATGATGTCGCCATCCATGAGCTCATCAAGCAACTTCTCCATGGGCAAACTGAGATCCTCCAGTCGCTCTATCATGTTGGGTTTCACCTCCTGAGAAGCAAATGCAAAATGAAATGTGAAATCAGTGGCTTTCAATGTCAGAAATCGCATATACTTATTTCCCTCAACGTAGTATGTCAGCACCATTATCATTTGTGGAAGTGAGGAGTCTGCACAACAATGACAGCATTTCTCCAAGAACAGCATAAAGCACCAATGGAAAGAAATTGGAATAAAGCACACCACCAGATCATCCACCCAATCTGTGCAGCATGATGGCATCAATTTGTGCCGTGGAAGGCTACAGACATGAAGAAACACAACACATGCTCTTCCTACAAGTGGAGTCCTCTAACCTACAGTAAATTTCTGGTATAAAGAACATAGAGCCAAGTAAATTTCTGTCAACACAATGGAAACTACAATACGCTCGTGTTTCAGTGGGCTAGGACAGTGATGAAGAAACAGGACCTTTCCGTAAGAAAGAAACATTTCCAAAGCCAGTGAAATATTTACATACATACCTCATAGAGCAAAAGGGACGTATTCACGGGGAAGCCAGCTTTTCTGTTTAAATCTGGAACCAACTCATCTGAAAATACCAAAGTTACAAATTGAATTAAAATGCTATAAATAAAACCAAAATTTACATGTAACTGTTTTCAAGGATTCCAAATCTCTCGTAAAAACATCTGCTATGTCTTTGTCTAAGAAACTTAATTTTTAAAGCACAAAACTTGAAACAAAACAACAAAATGAAGAGTTAACTTCTTTCCTTTGTAACATAAACACATGTATATATGATCTTTCCTTCTAACCCTATATGATTTCTCATTTATTTCTTTGTGAAAAAGATCAAGAACACCGAATCTTGTGTGAAAAGACAGAGAATACATATTTTGCTTTCTTTTTCTTTATCCCAGATAAAATCAGGTGACGATCAAGCAATGAGTTTGACCTGCACTAAATGAAGTAGCTCCTATCATTGTTTGAAAATACTTCCTCTGCTGTTGTCAGCAAACAAAGAGCAACAAGCTACATTTTCATACATTCTAAATGTTTCTCCATACTGTATCACAGAGTGGGGTAAAAACTAAAAACCCAAATGAAACAAAGAAGCCAGGATAAAAACAAATGCTCAAACTATGGTATGATAATCAGCCAATATTCATTTGCTCAGCATGAATTAAACACTAAACCCGCAAAATCAAACAGTATAAAATGACTTACGTGCTTTGGTAGAGATGGGCACATACAAATGTCCAACATATGAAATGGACTTTGTTCTGGGTTCATACATTTTCAGAAAAAGAAGGACATCAGCTGCAACAACAGAATCACATACAAATATAGGAAGAATAAGATACACACACAAAACCCAACAAAAACCTGAATATGATTCAAGAAATTCACATACAAATATATGAAGCATAAGATAACACAAAAACCCCCCCAACAAAAACCTGAATATGATTCAAGAAATTCATAGGAAATATGAAACTCAAAACCTGAGTTTCTTGTCTATATATGAGGTTTACAGAATTACCAACACCACCAGGAAACATGAACAGAAATTATGGTTAATAACACATCCACAGAAAGAAATAAAAATCATTTCAGAAATCAGATCTATCTCATATTCACAACATATCACTGATGCCATTTAAAAACAATTTTCAACCATTAAAAAATATACAAAAAGAGAGCAGTAACCCTTACAGCAGCAGTTACAAACACAATGTTGTGAGTGCCCACTGAGTGTTGTTTTTGTGCCACTGAAAGAGTTATGCACAAACTTTTCCACAAAAAACTCTCTAAACTCAAAGTTGACCCAGTATTTACATAATGCCACCATCACACTAAAATATATGTTGGAGTGAATTAACTTTCAACAAGTGAACACTCACTGTCTTTGTCAAATTGAGGCAGCTCCTGGAGTCCACTTTCTGGGTGAAGAGTTTCCACAAAGATAATCCAGGGGTTCTCCTGCTCTGCAAGCTCTATCACCTATACAGAAGAATAAAAGTCAATTATATGTAAAAATAAAAACAACCCCAACACCCCCCCCCCCCCCCAAAATACAAGTATAATTAGAAATGTACTTTTGTAAAACTGCAAAGCAGTAACACCCTTTGCTATTTTAGAATAGACAAAACATCAATTTTCCTAAATCAATGACATAGAATTAGCTCTGAAAAACAATCTAAAAAAGAATTAAAGTAAAACCTTGCAACCACCACACTTTCAGTAATTTCTAGGCCTATGATAAATCAAACCGGGATTTTAAGTAGAATTGAAATTGTCCAAGATGGCCCCTCAATGTCGAGGAAAAAAGTGGTTGTCTTAGATAAGTAGACATCTTGAACAGTGTCATGATACAGAGAAAAAACCACAAGGGAAGTGGGAAGTGGTTGTTTCTTTAGGTGACTGTCTTGGACTAGTGGCTGTCAGCACAGGTTCAACTGTTAATTGGTTCATTACTATACCTTTAGATGTGGATTATGGTCTGTCAGGCCAATAGCCGCCACATTCCACCAAAACCACATTAGAACAAGATTTACGGTGAAAAGAAACATAAGCAAGAAGAAAACACACTACACCAGAAAGACTGACAACTTCTACAGTAAATGTAACGAGCAAAAAATGTGGAAAACAGAAAGGAAGAATATAGGGGAACTGGAAGAGTGGAAGGCAACATGGTTAAAAAAATAAACTAGTGAATCATCAAAATGTTTTCATTATTTCCCTATAGACTGACTAAAGACACTGCCCTGATACAATATTCAACAATGAAACCAAAGCAAAGGTGCAATTTTTCCATACAACCCACTCCATTAACAAACTCAGTGATTATCTAAACAAACCTGTTTGTTGAAGTCAGCCTCTAAATCGAGGATTGAGGGCCGGAAAGTTTGGTTCTGCCTGCAGTGAAACGGCCATGGTCTGATCTGTTGGACTGGGTATTTCTGCATAAACAAGTGCATTGGGTTTAATCATAAAACAAGACTTCCAACAACTATTCAGAAATCTTTTAGACAAAGTTTTGGTAATTTCATAGATAAAAATATAACTTAAATTTCATGTCAATGTTTTAACTCTAAAGTTAGCCATCGCTTTAACTCTTTACCTCCGAGGGGGGGGGGGGGGGGGGGGGTGGTGGTGGTAAACCCACTATGCTGGGGCCCTTTTTTGGTGCTAAATCTAAAAATGACAAAAATGTGATTAAATCGAAACTAACAAAACCTACTTTGATAGTTTTTCATCTAAAGAACGAACTTCCGGTAAAAGAGACCTGATTAATTTGATGTTGAAGTCGTCATAAAGGAATGTGCCAAAGCGCTGACGTCAGCGGTTCCGACCGTAAGCCACTGGGAGCGGCTTGCCGGAGATAAGTTTAGTTTTAGTAGAGGCTTTACGGCGCTCGCAACTGCATAAGGTCATATGAGCGCCAGAAGATTAGAAGTATTACAGAGAGTAATAAATATAAAAAAGAAGGAGGGGAGATAAGAACGATAGATGTTTGCTTGGAAAGAAGAAGCAAACCACACCAGAGCACCCGCCAATCTCCAAAGCCGGAGATAAAGAGTTAGGGACCACAAAGGCCCAGGAGAGAAAAGTTCATAGCCCACAAGGACATGGGAAAGTGATCAAAAAACGAAAGCAAAATACCCCCCCCCCCAACAAACAAAAACGCTCAGAATAAAAAGTTAAAAACAAACAAATAAAACAACCCACAATGACATACCAGGTTATCTGCCAGGGTATCCATGAATTCAGTGAGTGTGAGCATTTTCTTTACTTTGAAACTCCTGGGGGCAAAACAAAACAAAAATCTATATCAATCACTGGTCCACGCACCACACTGAAAGACAAACATTTTGCTGACCAACACTTTTCTCAGGAGGTGGTTCACACAGACAAAAACATCAAAGTATGGTACAAGTTTTAACTGACACACTGAACCTAATCTATTCAAGTAACAACAAATAGTGAAGTCCTATACTCAAATACTGTGGTTGACTTCTCAATCACTTCCTTAACTTTAAATATTCAAAGAATTTCAAACCTCACAGCCCACAACTAGTACAACCAACGTAAAGCGGTACAGACCGTTACTGCGCTCTACTGCAGAAGCTGCTTACCTGTAGTTGACTTTCTCTGTGTCAAACAGATCATTGCCTTGGTGACCACAAAAGTTGTCTTCTGTCAACATGTGCACATTCATGTACAAGTGAGCTTCTGTTCTCTCTTTCCTCTTGAGAGCCTCCAATTTTCTGGGAAAAGGAAACTGTACAATGACATTTCCACACCCCAGTTATAAAAGAAAAAACCAACCATTTTTGACAATTTCGAATATGCAATAGCACAAGCAGTTGGGAATGAATTATCCAAATGCAAGGAGAGATGACAATTCATTGAAAATATTTCTGAAAATCGATGACAATCTTCCCAATGCAGATAAAAGAACTCGTTCCAACAATTCATTCATGAGAAGTGGCGCATATAAAAACGGTCCTGAAGTACTGACTTAAAAAACCAGAAAGAAGTAAAATGGCATAAACGAAATTCACAAGAGGCAACCTCCAGCTACCAGCACACCAGAAAACATGGTGAACTGATTTTAGCTTTAGCTGGGAATTTGCTGGACACCAATAGATAGACCTGCATATATGAGCCTCAACCAGATTGTCTGAAAATTTTGCGCACCCCCCCCCCCCCAATAACTTATAAGAGCTTTTAAATTTGTGGGTGTCATAAAAGGAGGGGCTTCTGATTCGAGTAACGAGCGACCACCCCAACATATATAATAAAAGAGACCTAACCTAACCCAAACCCTACCCCTAGGCCTACCCCCAAAAAGAACCTGCTACGGCCCTCATGTAAAAAGGCCAGCACAAGTAAAAAACCCACAAAATAAACAAGCACACTCCAAAACAAACAAGAAGCATTATGGCCTTCATTGCCTTATATAATAGGGTTTGATACAATAGAATTGACTTATATGAATCCTCCATATAGTTATAAATCTAGTAGTCTAAAAAAATCTAGATCTAGTTAGAGCAAGTGAATAGGAATAGGCCTTGAACGAGAAATCCGCATCCGATTCCGAACAGAGGGACTCAGCTGAGTCTAGAGATCTAGAATTCTAGATCTAGATTCTAAGTAAATAATTCACGCACCTGATGAAACGCGTTTTACCAACATTAATATTATAATATTACAGCACAACCTATGATAGAATTGGAATATGAATCTCCATTGAGGTCTATAATGATCTATAAATCTAGATCTAGATCTAGAGGGGAACAAGTCAGTCGAACTTGAATGAATCCACATGATCTGAACAATCACAGGGTTCCTGCCATGAACTTCCCATCAAATTCAAGGAGATTTCAAGGAGGTTTCAAGGAGAAATTTTTTAAATTCAAGATTTGGTCAAGAAATTCATGACGAAAGCCTATTAAAAAAAAAAACACTTGCCGAAAGGAACCATATCATATTCATAGTTTCGATTTTCCTAGAAAAACTGTTCCCAGGGTGACTGCCAACCCGGCTTCTCAACTTTCAAGGGGGGGGTCGTCTCATCCATTCTCCTGGGGCATGTTACATAACAACGACAGTGCATGCTCCATTTATATATTATATATAATATATACACACACACACGCATGTAGGTACATTGAATCCAGTCAACAACATGATGTCAGTGTGACACTGGGATACTGTGACTTAGGTTTTTCAGTCTGTTCTAACTTATTTATATTTATATGATCTGCCAACTTCCAAGTTCAGTTTTTTTTGTCATCTGGTGTTGCCTTCAACAACCCCCCCCCCTCCCCCCCCCGGCGTGCGTCTTTAAAAAAAATCAATAATCCTCCCATTCCTGAACTGAGTCCTATACTTAGCAGCGCTCAAACTTTGCATGAACTTTGGTGACCTCAACCGTCGCCGATACTCACGATGTGACAAAAACGCACAGGTTCAATGACCGGGACCGGTCACGATGGCGAGCCCGACAAAAATCTTGTATAACTTTCTTTTTCTTTTGTTTTTTTTCACACAAGTGACAGCACAGGACAAACGATTTATTTTCATGGCAACACAGCGTTTGTAATGCAGAGCCTGCATGTTACAAATCTGGCTTTATCAGACTACTATAGGCCCTACCGACAAATTTCTGGGTGGTAACGAAAGCAGATCTTGATTTTCCCGATCGAGCTTCGGTATCGCACATACTTCCACTTGTTGCCGCCATTACCGCATGTGTGCGTGTAACGTACTCTCAGGCCGGGAAAGGCCGAATAAATATTATATCACAATCGCCACCGGCAAAAATGAACTCAAGGACGTTATCGAATTTGGATTTCAAATATTCGAGAACTTTTATGTATTTGGCCGGGTCTTTCACGGGGCAGTTTACAGATAAATTTCTTCAATTTCCCGTTGCATTCCAGATCTCAGCGATTTTTTTCAAATTCCTGGGTAATTCCCGGAGCCTGGCAGTCACCCTGTACACGTGTTCCTGTCAGAACTGGCAAAATTCAAGGAGTTTTCAAGGACATTTTTCCTTGAAGGCAAATTCAAGGAGTTTTCAAGGAGATTTTTCCTTGAATGCAAATTCAAGCAGTTTTCAAGGACTCCTTGAATTCAAGGAGGCCGCGGGAACCCTGCAATCAGTAAACAAACGAAATTCAAAATGGCCGCGCGAGAACGAAGAAACTGAAAGTAGGCTAGATAATTTAGGTTGTCGTACTTTTTCGTATTCGTATTTCTACTCAGGTTCCGACGTCGGCAGTCGGCACGAAAATGAAAGTGCCGACAAAGCCGACGGGAGAAAAAGGGGGCGCTGGCAGTCAGCCAGGCCTCGCACATTGACTAATACAGGTGGGCCTAGCGATAGCATTGGCCGGCTCGCGTGTCGGGTCGCGATTGTCGGCAAACATGCAAGTCTAAATAGAGAATAAGAATAAATACCTCATAATAACACGTGAACAAGAGGATTTTAATATAAAAAACAAAATTCTTTCATGACAAAACCCAACCACTCACCTTTCTTCTGTCAATCTGGCAACCAAAGAATCAGGAATATCTTTCTCACACACAGGCTCAAGGATTTCATCTGCAGATACAAAGCACATTTGTTCGCCTGTTTGGTCAAGTGAGCACAGCAAACAGATTTTCTCATCATCAGTCTTTCTTTCTAGTAAGTAAAATTACACGCAAACATTTTTTGGGCTTATAAAAACCTCTCAGTAAAAACAGTCACTGATTAAAAATGTTTACTGCAATGTATAAACACATTTTGAAAATGTATATCTTTCTTTCAAATAAACTTCCTTTATAAAAGCATAGATCTTTCTCTGATAAATTAAATCAGACTTTTAATATCTTTTCATGTAAATATCTTTACCTCGTTTCTTAACATTGGACATTCAACCAGAAACTTATAGCCTCGAGTGGTATGGGCCTAGAGTTATAAAAAGTAGTGAACCCATGTACGGTATTGTATTAGAAAATGAACTTGTACAGAGATCTTCCTTCCAATGTTTCAGCTTCAAATTAGAACCTTCAGGGACAATTGAACATCTGAGCAGATACTGAGACTGGTGACACACACTGACAAAGCGACAGCAGCTATAACATTTCCATATTGTAGACAACCTACAAAGGACCACACATGGTAAACATCACACAGCAACATGAATACTCACTCAATTCACTTTCACGTATATACACCAACATGTAAGCATTTGTACAGTGTCTGACGGTCAGGTCTTCATCCTGCCCGCCAAAGTTATGGTCAATGGCTTCTGACTTTGTACACCGAGAGACAACATCATCGTCAAATTTGCACCACTGAAACAGAAAAAAAAGCTAATGTGAACCAGAAAAACACTCCTCAACCAGTAAGCGACTCATTTCATTATTGGTCTTTTGACACTTGAAAAATTTTTTTTTCACTGCGACCAAACATTCCTTCAAATGGCCCGCGGCAGCTCATGTACATCCACAGGAAGTAGAAGTAAGCAAAATTTCCCACTCTTTAAAAATGAAGTTCCAAACTTACTTCTTTTTAAGAAGTATTGCTAAGGAACATTTAAGTACATAATAAGTATTTAAGTATTACATGTTTCAGATTAATCATTTAGATGTTTTAAGCCCCCCGAAATCAGACAGACTTACTTTGCCATCTCCTTTTGGATTGATATATACAACATAATGCCCGCCATGGTTATCACCACTATGTACAAGTACTGCATGTAGAAGGTAGGTAGCAGAGGTCTTCTCCTTTTTCTGAAGAAACTCATCCAGATTCAACCTCTCAGGGAATTCAAATCTGTGACACAAGAGCGAATAAAAACAAATTTTAGTGCTTAAAAAAAAAACCCTCCCCAAAAACCCAACAAACTTTAACTCCATGATAGTGACAAATCCTTAAAACATCCACCTGCTTGATAGATTCCACAAGTCACTTATCTCAAGTCCAACCAACAGACAACTCTCATAACTCTTTTTATATTCCTCTAACAAAATGCAAATTGAAGTCAAGTACATTTGAAAACACAAACTTCAAAACAGGCAAGAGTCTACTTGAGCTCTCCAATCAGAATTTACTTGATCTAACACCCGACTCTCTATGGGGCTACATGTGGGTACAACAGCATCATGTGTGAAAGACGCCTTAACTTATTCTATAGAAAAAATAAATATGCAAGTACGCACAAGAAGTTGATTAGCATACAGTAGAAACCAAACAGAAAGGCAACAGCCACTTACCTGTCATTGATTTTGATATTTGCATCTGTGACTGGATCATACATAAACCTCATTAGGTGGAGGTGTAACACAGGGGGGAAAGAGAGGAACATGACACCCTTCTCTGACTCCTGAGGGGACAAAGTAGAGTACAACATCATGAGAACTAGGAATTCTTAATTTTTATGCCATACCAACAACTATCCAGCCTACAAGGAAGGACACTCCCCTCCCCCAAAAATGTAAAAAAAATAAATAAATAAAAAAAAATGAAGCAGTATACAGTAGGGCTGGATTCTGCTCGGTTAATCGAAAGCTTGCAAAGTAGCGGACGGCTCGCGCTAGAGGCTTGTGATTTGCTTTGCCTCCCGCTTGCTACCGGGGGGAACTTCCGGTGAGTTGTGACTCGCGGACAGTCCTGCTGTACTGTGTCGTGATGCCGCGAACCTTCGTTGCAGTGGGCTCAGTACATATTACAAAAGATTCTCTGGTTATTTGCGTTGAGAGGCTTGCACCAAAAGTGCAAGATCATTTGTTTTTTTTACATAGTTTGGTTGTAAAAAACAAAAAGCTCTATTCAATGCACTTAAAAATTAATATTGAATCGGCTATTCTTACGATGTTACGGCCTGTTTATTTTTAATGTGCACGAGCCAAGCGCTTCATCGTCGCACGCAAAAGATAGACCTGCATGTGAGCCTCAACCAGATTGTCTGAAAATTTTGCGCCCCCCCCCCCCCCAAAAAAAGCCTTTGTGGGTGTCATAAGGAAGAACATCCGAGTAACGAGCGACCACCCCAACAAACACAATAAAGAAGAGACCTAACCCTAACCCTACCCCCAAAAAGAACATGCAACGGGCCTCAGGCCAAAACAAGTCCTAAATTAAAAAAAAAATTTTAATTAAAAAACCACACTCCAAAACAAACAAGGAGCATATAGATCTAGATCTAGATCTATATATGGCTTACATCTACATTGCTATAGGGTTTGATACAATAACACAATGGAATTGGAATATATAATATGAATCGTCATATATATATATCTAGATCTAGAAATCTAGTAATCTAAATAAATCTAGATCTAGATCTTGTAGAACAAGTGAATAGGAATAGGCCTTGAACTAGAAATCCGCATCCGATTCCGAACAGAGGGACTCAGCTGAGTCTAGATTCTAGATCTTTACTAAATAAATAAACAATTCACGCACATGATGAAATGCTTATTATTTTTACCAATATAAAGATTACAGCACAACCTATGATAGGGTTTGACACAATAGAATTGGAATATGAATCCTCCATTGAGGTCTATAATGATCTATATATCAATCTAGATCTAGATCTAGATTCTATTAGAACAAGAGAGAGTCGGACTTGAATGAATCCAAACGATCTGAACAATTGAATTAGTCAACAAACGAAATTCAAAACGGCCGCTCGAGCACGAAACTGAAAGTAGATAATTTAAGTTGTCGTCCTTTTTCGTATTCGCATTTCTACTTAGGTTCCGACAATTATGTCGGAAACGCCGACGTCGGCAGTCGGCACGAAAATGCCGACGAAGCCGACAGGAGAAAAGGGGGACGCTGGCAGTCGGCCAAGCCTCGCACTTCGCACATTGACTGATACAGGCGGGCCTAGCGATAGCATCGGCCAGTTCGCAGGTCGGGTCGCGATTGTCGGATTTCAGACGATTGTCGGCAAACATGCAGGTCTAAAAAGACCTCAGTTCATTTCCGCATGGGGAGAAATTTTTACTGAGAACCTCCGTCTTTCTGCTGGGGCTTTGTTCCCTCTCAGCCCAGGTTGGTCCTGACATTGGGTTGAAGTAGGCCTAGCCCGTCTCCTAAATGTTCTGTATTATGTCAGTGTGAGTGTAACACATCTACAAAATAGGTTACATACATATGATACAAAAGCCAATCACAACGACCCCTGGAGTTTTCCATTCGAGGGTAATCTAAGTCTACTTATTCTTATTACTACCAGAAACCTAGGTCTCTGTTACTACAATACCACGCTCCCTCTCACTTATCCACTCGCTTAGCTGATCAATGGCGGGAAGTTAAAAATAACTTCTCCCTCTTCACCAAAACAAGCCCAGCCTCTCCCTTCCTCCCAGGTTCCAAGTTCACATAGCGAGGGGTACTGCTGCGTGAACACATCGAGCAGTCCTGCGGCGTGCCGCTCGCTCGCTCGCTGTATTGAGACAGCACAAGTCAGCAGGTCATGTTTCGAGCTTGTCCTGGGACAATTCACTAGGCCTTGCGCAAATCAGTACTGTGTGAATCGTGGCTGCGGACGGGATTTGAGACTTGTGGCTGTCCGCTGCTTTGCAAAGCCTTCGATTAATCGAGCAGACTACAGAGCTACGGCGTGCAGTGACACTGTGGGCGGGATCTCTCACTCTCCCCTTCTCTCTTTTTCTGACGAAAGTGGCTTCGCGGATTGCAAGCAGGGTGGGGATGATGAGGGGGTCTGACACGAGTGGCTTCGCGGATTGCTAATTGCTGTGGACTTGAAGTTTAGACTAGATCAAGGAGGTTACAGTTTGCGCTCGACTCATGCTGGTGATTTGAGGCTTGTGACTTGAACTAGGGGCTGGCGAGCACGAGTGGGTTTGCTACAGGGGTACAGCCCTAGTATACAGTATGGGAAAAAAAGATAAGGAAAAAAATAAATTATTTCCAAATGATATTTTTGAGATTTCAAAACAACCTGAATGTAGAAATGCAGATGTAACAACTTTTTCAAAGTTCTGTTCTTGAAAGCATTTAATAATTTACTTCCATCAGTGCAGTACAAAATTATTTCTGTCCTTTCACATATAAATTGTTCTTTTAAAAACAGTGCATGTCAAACATTCCCATTACAGCAGTATAGGAATATATGACAGAATATACATATGTGTGCCATCGTGGTGAAATCAGGCGCTCGCAAAAATAATAAAAATCCAAGAAAATGACATTTTTCTGCCGGTTTGGCAATTTAAATATAATAAAATTCTTGTTTTTATGCCCATGAAAATTATTTTAATAAATAAATACAAATTTTAACAAAATTGGTGTAGATTTCATTAAATAAAAAGCAACGTTTAAAGGCACAAGAATTATTAATGTTCAGTTTCCAAGGACTTCCAAGCTGAGGACGTCAGTAAACTTTGGCAGCCATTTACTCACTAATTTTACCCCATCTTCTTCAATTGCAAATATCTTGACTTCTATTCAAGATATGGGTATTTGTTTCATCAACTGCAAGACAAATGAGCAAGCTTTACATTGATACAATAACCCGACATGTCGAAAAATTGACCAGTGTCTGATTCCACCGTAGCATGATACATACAGTTCAGTGACTAACCTGCAGACCATATTCCCCTGCATCGTACTTGTTGTCACCATCAAGTGTTTCAACTGTGCAATATTCCTTGAAAGACTCATTAACTGTGAAAATAACATTACATTTGTACAAACAAATATTACTAACTTACCAATGGAGTTTCAATATTCTTTTACATCTCTTTAAAACTCTGCCAACATCCGGTACCAATCCTGTCTGATCTTCAATCCTTCGTGGCACATATGTGTAATGTCAAGACTTTCCTAATTTACTCTATGCTTTTCTATGGTCAAAAGATTTTGTGTGTGCTCGTGCCTGTGTGTTTGGGTGAGTGAGCGAGTGAGTGAGAGAGAAAGAAAGAGAGTGTGAACAAGTGTAGTGTGTGTGTGCGTGCGTGGGGGGGAGAAATCATAGATTCCACAATTGTACCGATTGTAATGAATGCTATATGTAAAGTTTGTCTTTGACTGTGAACAATGTAAAGTGCTTAGAGCCGCACTAAGACTTGATCTTACTATGAACATCATCAACATTACAAATAACAGTGCTTCCACCAGGGATGGGCAGGTACCGGTACCCAGTACCGGAACTCCCGGTTCTACCGAAGTCGGTGTCAGTACCGGCACAAGACCTTCAGTACCGGCTCTCGGAAGGAGTGACACCAAAGGTTAATACCGGCTCTGAAAAGGAGCCGACGCGACGCGTTTTTTTACTGGGCCACGGGAAGTGTGCAGTGTGTTGGCCTAGGTCTAGCAGCTGCGGCGTCAGATGCACAACGCAGACGGTGACCTTGATACAGGACTTCAGATCCAAAATTGACAATCAAAAACTAAGTTTGCTTAAATTTAAAATATGGCATCAAATCAGGTTCCACGCGAGCCACTTTGCTTATTTTGATATGCTGATTCCGAAAATGAAATCAATTTTTAGCGGCGATAACTATTAAAAAAAAATCTACATGCACAGTGTAATCCCACGCAATGGCAAACTTCAAAGGTATTTTGCGTCACAGTTAGTCTCTCCAATTCTGACTGGTGCGCGCGTGTGTGGGGGGGAATGCAGGCAGCGCTGATCATGGCATTAGATGCAAGACGCGAAGACTGTGACGTCACCTACTGTAGTCACTCCCAGTATTGGTACCGGTGCTGGCAGTTCTCGGTAGGTGCCACAGGATTTCGCCGGTACCCCCCCACCACTAGCTGAAAAGTAAGGAAAACTGTGCCGGGGGTCTGGGGGCCTTTTAGAGGATTGAAAATAGCAAAAGGGAGCCTGTTTGAAGAGATTGCCAACAACCCATGCTACCTATTTTTTTCACGAAGATTTTATCTTGATTTCTTCACCTGCATGATATCTTTCCATTGCAGGCAATGTTAAAAAGCAGATTCCCCTTCCATCGCTACTATAATTCAATTAATTTGTCATCGCACCATAGATAGAAGGCAAACCCAGGTATAATGAATAGACATGCACCTAGACAATACAGTTACCCAGCGTATACCCTAATTTTCCTCAATTTTCACGCCTGAATGTCGCATGTCACAACCTCGAAACACCACTTCTAATTATTCTTGATTTTAGTAGTTTTAGCACAAATTTCTTTCATCGCGGCACTTATCGCGTTCCCGTGCCGTAGAATCTTCGCACTGATAATTTCTCTAGATCTTGAAAATTTGCAAAAAAACCCACCTCTCTGACGGTAATTTTCTGTCTAAGATCACATGTCAATGTAGAATCTCTACCTGATCAACGCGCAGATTTTCCTGTCGCGGCAATAATCCGAAGATAGACAGACGGAATGAGGGAATGATAGAATGAGGAAATTGGCACAAAAGTTCGCCAGATTTTGATCAATCTGCAGGTAAAAAATGTAATGCCGACCAACCCGCAATGAATGCATGGGGCATAGCAGAATAATGGTCGATAGCAGGAAATGCGCAATCTGGCAGGTTTCTATAACATAAACTATTGCAGAGAGAATTACCGTAAATATCCGTAACTTATACAAGACGATACGAAGGCGAGTAGGGATCTTTCGCTACAGAATTTCGGTAGTCCTACACTGTAACAGATTTATATGGATGGAGTTGATAATGAAGGAGGAATAAGTACGGAACTGGCAGAAAGTGCGGATTTCCGTAAAAATACGGAAGAGTGGAAGCACTGAAATAAAAAGATTTAAACTGGCAACGTTAACACCACACCACAGATCATAACTAACAAACAAGACCAGCACAAAGTATGAGACAATTTAAGTGATTCTTTCCAACACAAAAGCATGAATTTACAAAAAACATCTAAAACACTGCTTTTTTTAAGACTGGAAGACAAAAGACAGTTCTGGTTCCCATTGTGGTTTGGCAAATTTTGCACGTGTAGACATACCGTTTTTCTTCCCCTTGACATTGAGTTGAATATCAAAGAAGGTCTCCTCTCGTTTGGAGTCATAGTTAACATGCTTGCATCGGATGTATGACTGAAACATATTTTAGAGCAACATGATAAAAGTAATAATCAAATGGTACTACAATAGTAAAACAAATGTTTTTACCTTTTAAAATTTGGTAACTTGAATCATTTCAAATATAGACCTAATACAGTAGTCTCCACTTAAGATCCCTGTGCTCCGGAGCAATGAAAATGCAGGATCTTAGATGACGCACTAAAGGAAGAATCTACTATGACCCTTGTTAAGGCCCACGATCGGTAAAATGGTATCCCTTCCCTTTAAAATGAACTGGCGTGACTCATGGGTGGGTTTATGACATATGGCGAGAAAAGAGTGGTCAACCTCGATGACCAATCACAGTCGTATGAGGCATGTCATCTTCACTTTAAAATAATCATATTGTGAGTCTCAAGATCAACGCTTATTCAATGTAGCAATGACCACGAAAAACCTTTTTTTGCCAGAAAGTGTGCAAATAGGTGCATTTTGTAGCTTTATTTTCACAGAGCATGGAACTTTTTGAATTTTTGAAATCCATCAATAAACAAAAAACTTACAGATTTTTTAATCAATTAATTTCTGGTACACTTTTATATAATGAAAAAACAACCAAAATATGGGACGTTCTTTGGTGAGTTTTGAGACAATATTCGTCATAACTCGCTCATTTCTCGGAGTATTTAAAAGAAACTTGGCAATCCAGTACATTTTCTAGTGCAGAATCTAGTACTGCTTTCAGATTTTTCATAGCTGTTCTATTTTTTGAGTTATGAAGACGTTTATAGGTAAAAATGTGGCGGTTTTCGGTGCGTTTTGAGACAATATTTGTCATAGCTCGCCTATTTCTTGGAATATGTAAATGAAACTTGGCAGTCTAGTACATTTTTTAATGCAGAATCTAGTCATGCAGTCAGATTTTTAATATCTATCATACTTTTTGAGTTGTAAAGACATTAACAGGTAAAAAAGTGGCGTTCTTTACAGATTTACAAAGATTATCAGTCATATGTTCTCCCAAAGTCATGATATTTGAATGAAACTTGGCAACAAAAAAAGGTTCCTCCTTGCCAAGCAATGTTCTGGATCAATTTGTCACAAAAATGTAAGTAGAGAGCTGGATTTATTAGTCTAATAAATCCAGTCCTGTACCAGTAAAAGCATGCATACTTTGTTATAGAAAATAAGATCGTCTCTGTGTATATCCATTGTTGGACAGTGTCCTTTTGTGTGGTAGATTAAGATGCGTTCAGATAATATAGTTTACAAGTCATGGGAATATTTCGCATGTGTAGGCTACAAATCATACAGTAAATGTAACATATTTACACCCCCTCCCCCCCTCTCTCTCTCTCACGCGCGCACACACACACACACGCGTGCGCACTCACGCACACATGCGTGAACGATAACAATGTATAAACGAGACTATCTTCCAAGACTGGACTAAATAAGTACCATACTCTTTAATAACAATCTTAATGCCTCACTTTTCCAAACAGAGCACACAGGACGAGTCCAAGTGTGTGCTTTCCCAAGAGGGGGGAATAGGCTTTCATAACGCAAACACAATGCTATACCACTTTTCAAGATGTTTGCTTTTCTGTTTCTATTCTTCTGTCATGCAATCAAGCAAATAAAAATGACTACATATATTGTATTGTGACTAAAATGCAACAAAAACGCAAGTTGTCAAGGCCCCCGTTTAGTTTTCAAGTATCCTTCCCCCCCTTTCCGGTTCACATAAGCGGGGCCTCGTTTGTAGCGCCCGAGGCGACCGATGGATGATGACGTCACTCAGTGGAAATTTCCCAGCACGCGCAAATGGCAATGCCGCTTTTTCCCTTAGTTACTCTCACATTTTTAAAGATTACGCAAAATCCGCTAAACACAGAAGCTTGAAATTTTAAGGGATTAAAGAAAAATGGTGTACAACGTATCAGTCAGTTTGACAAATCACAGCTCCGAAAAATCTTCAAAGGGCACCACATCAACCACTTTCGCAAACGTTTTCGACTGCTTCTAGGATGGGTACAATGTTGTCAAACTGCATACTACGAGATTGACCTCTTTTCTGATTGGCTGCCAAGTTTCATTCATATCCATTCACGAGAAGCGGCGTGAGAGCGAGTTGAAGACAACAACCTTTGCGTTAGTGCGTCCCACGACACGAAACATCCCCGCTGCAGGGGCCAAAAATCGGCAGAACAAAACGCGCTCGGTGGGCATTGCTATTCAATGGCCCCTCCTCTTTACCTTTACCTGTTCAAAATTTCATAGCTTTTCACCTGTCGTTACACATTATTGCGTTGTGACCACACCAATTAAAATTCAGTCTGTCACACAAATTCGGGAGTAGAGACAACTACTGCTATGGTCAAGGTTAAGTTCACAGTTCAATGTGATCCAGCCTGGAGCGAACTTCTTATGCTGTACCCACCCAGTGAGTGATGTAAGTTAGGAGGAGAACTCAGATGCGAGTGAAATGTTTGGGAAAAACAAACGCGTCGGTCTGTTCACAACTCAACGTGATCCTGTCTGGGGCAAACATTACACTGTTTCATCCAGTTTTACAATGCCTATGCGATCACATTCACGAGAGTGGCTGATCTTTGATGTGATGGGCAGTTCAATGACCTCAACCTGGGATCTTAGGGGTGACTTTTATAGTAAAAATTCTGTTTTATTAAAACAGTGGGATCTTAACTCTTTTTATCCTGGCCGTACCCCCAGAGACTCTGTACCCGTCCTGGGGCCACCTTGCCATAGAGTTGGAATTCAGGATGTATATTTCAAAGTCCTGTATTACTTACATTCACTCTTAGATTTTAAGGAAATTTGGCAGTTATGTTAGAAATTGAATGTAGTGTCTGAAAAAGTATGGGGTTAGGAATTACACCAACTGCTCTATGTAGATTTTGAGGTGCATTCCAACTTGACCCTGATTGCATGCCCACGACGCCCCCTTAGATACAGATCTAGCCCTACCCATCGGTACAGCACGAATTCCAGTACTGGTCCCTTCACCGTGATCTGAATCACTATTAAATGAGTCTAATTCCTGTTTGTTATCATCCACAAAGGAATTTACAGCACTTGATTCAGAGTCATTTTCATCAAATTAGTCTCATTCCCCCTTTCAACTCAGGGCCACTTCGAGAACTGCTTTGTCGGTCATGAATGTGCGTTTTCGAGACATTTTTCAAGCTTCTACACCCATCAAAAACAAAGTAGCAATGCCAATCGGGCTTTCCCGCAAGGCGAAAATTTGGTCCCCGTTTACGGGCGATTTTGCGGACCTGGCCGAAGCGTAGGTGACTAACTTTGTCAACCTCGGTCTGCTCTATTTCCGATCCAATCCGAATGAAACTCGGCAACCATTCAGAAAATAGGGCAAACTAATGATATGTGGACATTGAAATTCGTACATATAAATTAACCTATACTTTTGGTGTCGGGAACACTTTTGTATCGTGTACACCGAAAACTATTAGGAGCTTGAATTTCAACGCCGAGATGGTAATAGATCTATCTATCCTCTATAGTGTGCTCAAATTTGAACGTTTTGTGTCAAGTAGTTGTTTAGACCTGATCATAAATGCACGACTAACCCCCTATCCAAAGCGGCTTCGCACGAAGACCGGCCATTTTCCCCTCACTCTCGTGGCAAATGTATGTGACCTACAAATCCCCGCATGACTATTCCGGGCCCGTTCATTGGTCACTTGAAATAGGGCAATGGCGTGTGCGCGCATCCGGTTGTTTTTCTCTCTATTCCCCTGTAACATCGCTATGGGGGTATTCCGAGGCGAGGTTATCTCGTCTCGGGGTGTTCGCATCTCAGCGGGGAAAAATAATTTTTAATTGTATGGCATGCTAGATTGAATTAACTTATCTTTTAAGGTTGGCATGGTCTAAAGTCATCATAAAAAGCGTTGCAATTATTTAGTCACGCTGCCGACATATATTCTCAAAGATCCCATGTTGTGATACGATGCTATAAATAAAATGGACTCATCCCGACACCCCTTTTTCGCAAAATCGTAATATGTACACCACAATTTTAATTATAACAAAATAACTACGAAATTGGTAGTAAATCTGACTGCAGAAATGATTTCTACACTCAAAAACACATCGGGTAGCCAAGTTTCTCTCGAACACTCCAATTAGTTACAGAGATATCGTCGATTTTCTTACAGAATCTGCTACTGCGTGGTCCACTTTTTGGAGTATTTTCTTATATGTGGGTCATCCATATTTTGCCGACCTTTACAACCCCATAACTTTTTTATTTATGAACCGATTCTCAAAATTCAAGAAGCATAATTCTTAGAATTGAAAATTCTTTCTTAGGTACCAAAAAAAAGGGGACAAAAGTGAAAATTTAAATTTTCATTGGCATTGCTAAACAAAGACTCTGCTGTTCATTGGAAAATTGAAATATTCAGACAGAGCTAGCATCGCCGCATTTGCGTATTTTGGTAATTACAAGCAGAACTAGCCGGTTGACGTGACCGTACAGCTGTCCGAGTTTACTCATAGCCTGGATCAAAAGAGTTAAGCGGTGGCATCTTGGGCGGGGACTACTGTATTAAAAAAAGGTAAATGTAGAAGAACAATTGAAGATAAAGAACCAGAAGCAGAAAAGACATAGCATAAGCATATAGGACTTTAAAAAAAATAGCAGAGGGTTCTACGGCACTCGCAACTGCATAAGGTGATATGAGCGCCAAAGGGTGGGTGTCAACAGAGAAGTCTTTATTGGGAATCAGACTTACTCTGCTCACCTCTCTAGCTTCAACAGCACAAGGTCTGCTTCGACTATCAAGGCAGCCCGGAAATAGCAGGTCACAAGAGTGTGACAAACATATACAAAAAAGTAGGCGAAAATGACAATAGTAAGGATTAAGAAAGAAAAAGCAGCAGTTCCCTGTTGTAGATCAGGCACAGTTATGAGCGTGACATGATGAATCAGCCCATTTACAATTCTACTGTGCTTGAACGAGAAATGTCCCCCCTTTGGGAATGGCCTAAAGACACTACAGTCAGTGGCACTGCTCCGGGGGGTGCTTATAAGACTAATGGGTACTGCTACCGATTACTCCACACAGGGAGTCTAACAGTCGACAAAAATATGTTTACATGATTTCTCACAATAAAAATACTCATGAAAAGCTGTCTGGCTTTGAGAGACAGCAAAACAATCTTTAGGGAGCACTTTGTTTTAGTAAGAGTTCTACAGCACTTGCAACAGAATTAGGTCATATAGGTGCCGAAGAATAGAGGTGTTACAAGAAAGTAACAAACACAAAAAAGAAGAAACAGAGATAAGGATGACAGATGTTTGATAGGAAAGCCAACAACCCACAAAAGCATGTCAATACTCACCAACATTTTACCCTCAAAAAGCTTCGGAATTGTTCCTTCCACGCATGTGCCTTTCATCTTGCTCTCCATGTTGTCTAGCAACTGTAACAAACATTTTTTTATAGTCTGTTACATAACAAGACCAAAGGAATTTAAGTATGCAACCTGATTTGACACTAAGCTCTTCAAGTGTTTCCTGAATATAAGGAAAGACTTAAACATGACCCACCGAAAATAACAAGAATCAAAGAAAAAACTATGCACATTTACTAAGCTAATTCAATTGAAAAATAACATGGAAGCTTTTGCCAAAAACTGGGGGTGTCTGTATGAGAGTTTTAAGATCAACTGCTACTCAAAGAAAAACATGTTTTCCACTAAAAAGAAAATGCAACTGGCAAGAAAAATAAGTTGATCAATCGGCTTACGAAGATTTATTCATAGGTGTATCCTAATACCCTTGAAAGCATTGAAAAGCAGCATTTTATTTTTTACTCATCTTTAGCGGACATGTGAAAGTTGGTAAATATAAAATGTTTTCAATCCTTGACCAAACAGAAGTTTGCCCCCAGTTATGAACACTGTAATTTATTCAAAACACGCCCTACGACCTATCTGCTCTATTAAAATCAGTGGTGATAATAGAAAATGGTCAAAAAAGAGGAAGATTCTCGCCCCACAAACAAGCACAACCCCCCCCCCCCCTCCACAGTGCTTAACTACTGAATCACCAAATGAAATGCTAGTCTCTCCTTTCTTTGACTTCCACCACAACCTTTTGATCTAACCAGTCATAACAGAATTTGTTTTTCACCTGACTGTCGACTTCCCTCACCACACAAACACTTTCTACTTTCGACAATTCCTCCATTTTGATAGAATTTAATAATTATATTTGGTGCCAAGACGTAAAAATGATGGTTTAACTTGATGAACAGAATAAAACAAGCATGGTCGTCTTAGAAGTCTGAACAGTTGCAAAGCATGAGAATGGAATGGACGACTGACAAATCAGGCCAAATCGCGCTCAATGCAAAACATTCGGGTTTTGAAAAGTTTCGTTTTCAGAAGGTTTATTTCTGGCCCAGTGCCTCGTAGAATTCTTCTACTGTATTGGGCGGAGTTTCGACGGGTCAGATTGGGCTATCACCCGTTATCAACAAAAGTGCATGAGATTTTTCCACCACATCGGAATCACGGAGCAAATATTTCAAAAAAGAGGAAAATTTCTGGGGGAAGGGAAAAAGCGGATTTCCGCCAATATGGCAATTCTTTTATTAATCACTTGTCTCCATTAAAACCAGAGTTTTATTCTTCGGTATATTTCTTGTTAAAGAAATGTTAGATAAATTGACACTTTATTGATGCTTGTGGTTTTCTTACAACAGTTATGACACAACCCACCTCTCCAAAAAAAACCCAACAAACCAGAACGTGATTTTGTTAAGTCACTTCACAAACTTGATTTCCAACCTTATTTTCAAACCCGGGTATCCCATCTATCGGTAAACGCTCGTGGAAGACATAACCCCTATGTTCCTTGACCATTCAATCCCAAAAACCCCATGTACAAAATGTGGACACTCTAAGATTATAGATTCTAAGTGTATACTCACCACACGGCACAATTCTTGGACATCATGCTGCATGAAGGAATCTAAGGTCTCCCATCTGAAACAAAGAAATTCAATCACTTCCTGTAAATAAATGGTTAACACAATAAACATACATGCAATATAAGCACTCTGATCTTTACTCAAGCAGACAACCACATAACAGCAAAGGTGCACCCAGTTTGTCTTGTTTGAGTAAATAAAAAAAACATCGACAGAAGACAAAACAACAGAGGGAAAAAAATTAAGGATGGTACCATGCAAAATAAAAGAGGAAAGGGGAAAACAAAGAAGTGGACAGGTCATTTTTTTCTTCTTTCAGTAACCAGAGGACTAGATAAAATCATTAAATCCAGAATCCCCCCCCCCCCCCCCCCACTGATTTTCCCATCACGGCAGATTCAATTTACTGAAAAACGCCTATTACAAGAGAGTAGTTAACTGAAATTGACTTTGCTGCCATGTTTTCAACAAGTCTATATATCTGATACAAGGTAAATGAATGAGCTATCATGACCGTGGGGTTGCATGGTGATTTGAATTAGGTAAGAACAATTATGCAATAAAGGGGATAAATAATTGAAGAAACAATGAATTTGACTAGTTTATTGAATTTCACCTAGCATACGGACACCATTATTCATAAAAAAATGACCGATACACAAAAGAAATGTTACAGGAAAACTCCCTTTACAGTCAGACCACATAAGTAGGTATTCCAGCACAGATTTTGTTCAATAATTTGGAGAAACTGAAATACATGAAATGCTACTGTCAACCCTGTCCCTGATCCAATCTTTGTGCTTGTGCTAGAACTGGCAGTTGCACCAGCGCTGCTGACATTGCTTGCACTAGATCTAAATGTTGAGGGCAGGTAAAACTTATGAATAATTCATCCACCACCCTAACTGAAGTACCACACCCATCACCGCTGTCAGCATCGCTATTGTTATTCTCACCAGTTGGGAATAACTAATGAAGTTTGAGTCAGTGTTACCAACAAAATAATCAGAATTAAAAAAAAACAATCCAAAAAAGCAGAAAACAAAAGAAGCAAAAAACTCCCAATAAAACATCTGTCAGTCGGTTTGCTGAGCGAGCCTTACAGGGCTTTCGTTTTGTGTGAACTTTTGCCCTAAGCCATTGTTGCCAATGAAATAAATGGGCAGACTATTTGGATTGACAATTCAGATTAAGAATGAAAATGAACAAACTAAATTCTCTCTGTCGCAAAGCAATGTATTTAAGACCAAATTTTGAGAATTTTCGATTTTTACACCCTCCCAAAGCTCTATCAAAGATACACCTTTCAACATCACTGAAATGTAGTTTAATGATATGGTCAAGGCTTATAGTTTTCTTGCTTTTCACTATTCCTGATAGGAACAACACAACAAAAACTAAGTTTCGCGACTCTTAGGTAAAAAGTGCCCAAACAGACACAGATGATATATCAAAATATTTGTATAAAACACACCATCACAACAGAAATGTATGGTATAGAAGTATCTAGGCCATATGTAGCATAAAAAAAAGAAGGGGAAAAACCAAACATCTTGCAATGTAGTAACAAATCATACCCAAAGGATCTTGTGAGTTTTTTAGTTCCAACTGGTTTGTCTGAGAACTGAAGCTCATAAAAGACTCTCTGAAGGGCGAGAGGTACACTTCGAGTGCCGTCATCACTCTCGGTGGGCATCAGGTATACAGCCTGGGGTAATAAAAAGGAAAAATATGGTGCTTGCTGCTTTTTCAGAGCTAAAGACAGGAAGACCAACACAACTACAGTAATGTATGGCCAGCACAAAGAATAAACAGAACAAAAGGGACAGTATATTCCAATTATCAGCAAATGAGACCACAACATAACCATAAAAACCTGTCGGAGATTCTTCCCTAATAATGCCCCTGAAAGTTACAATAAAACAACAAACACCTGTCTTCAACAGGGTTGGTGATTTTATATATAAAAAAAAAAAAATCAAATCAGATAAAAAATTTTTTTTTTTTAAAATGTCGACACAGTTTGGGATTTTTGGTGGCTAAAGGTATGTTCTTTTAGTGAAAAATCCATTGTCTTTATTTTAACTAATGATTAATTTAAGCAACTGCAAAAGAAAGCCTTAATCTGCTATATCAGTGAATTATAGCTATAGACAAAAATGAAGAAAATGTCAGTCTAAAAGGAAGGGGGGAGGGGGTAATTATGCATAGATAAACTTGCATTTTATTACTGTGTGTGTGTGCGCGCGCTTGTGTTTGTCTAAAAAGAAAAAGCTAATTTCAATTAGGAAAAAAAAGTAAATTGAATACTGTATTATTTTACTACTTACAGTGACAGGGGGGAAAGCAGACTTTTAAGCATGATTATATTAGTCTACTAAACCTTATATCTGTTTTATAAAACCAAGGAAAGGAATTCGGAATGTTTAAAGACGTAAAAATAATACATTTTTAAAAGTGATTTAAATCACTGAGTTTTATTTTTAAAATCAAGTTGATTTGAATATAAAAAAATCAACCCAACCCTGGTTTTCAATAATGAAAAAAAAAGAAAATTGAATACTGTACTATTTTACAGTGACAAGGGGGAAAGCAGACTTTTAAGCATGATTATATTAGTCTACTAAACCTTATATCTGTTTAATAAAACCAAGGAAAGGAATTCTGAATGTTTAAATATGTAAAAAGAGAATACATTTTAAAGAAAGTGATTTAAATCAACCCAGCTCTGATTACAATTATGGAAAAAAAAGAAGTAAATTGAATACTGTATTATTTTACTGTGAAAGGGGGGAAAGCAGACTTTTAAGCAAGATTATATCAGTCTACTAAATCTTATATCTGTTTTATGAAACCAAGGAAAGGAATTCTGAATGTTGAAATATGTTAAAACTGAATAAAAATACGTTTAAAAAAAAAGTGATTTAAATCACTGATTTTTAATTTTAAAAATCAAGTTGATTTAAATAAAAAAAATAAACTGATTTAAATCAACCCAACCCTGGAATATATCAGTCTACTAAACCTTATATCTGTTTTATGAAACCAAGGAAAGGAATTCTGAATGTTGAAATATGTAAAAAATGTAATAAAAATACATTTTTAAAAGTGATTTAAATCACTGATTTTTATTTTAAAAATCAAGTTGATTTAAATTTTAAAAAATCAACTGATTTAAATCAACCCAACCCTGGCCTTCAGGTTCTAGAAACTTTATAAGAATTACAATTCTGACAACGAAAATCCCCAATAAACTCAGTGATAGGTCACTGTAGAAAATCTATTTATTGGAGACAAAGAATAATTTTTCAGTTCACCCGTAACAATATGCTCACTAATCCAATAATGGGAATACATTGCTAGGGTACATCAAAAAGGAAATAGCCTGCCAAAGAAAGACAAAAAAAAAGCCGGACAGCCAGTGCCATTCTCACATATTTATTTTCTGTTACCTTTGAGTAACACACACAAAATGAATATGACAAATTGACACAAGAACCTTACCCTTCTGAGTTTATTTGTGAAGAACAAAGTTTGCAGCAGTGAATTCATGTAGCAAGTGGCTCCCTGATTTTTTAGGCCCACAAAACCGGTATGTTTCTTGGAATCCCAGCTGTAAAAAAAAAAATCAATATATATAATATGACTGCCAGTTATGCACAGGTTAAAAAGTAACTAACAACTACAATTATCACGGTGAAACATGGTTGTCTATATTTTTTAAAACTTATCGAACAACCCGATCTTAGTGCAAAAATCAACACTTTACACCCCCCCCCCCCCCACAAATGCCCTTCGTCTTAACCCTGGAAGCGTGCAGGCCCAATATAAAGGGAGTGAGCCGGGCAACATGGGAAGCGCGCAGGCCCTATATGTAGGACTGACCTACTTCGACCGGGAAACGCGCAGGCCCTATATAAAGGCCATAGACGCTGACCGTTTTCATTGGAAAATTTCAGTATTCCTTATATGGAAAATGACGTATTAAATTACAGGTCAAAGTTATAAATAGTGACCAATGACTTTGCAAGTTATCTTGACCCCATAGAGCGTCTCTTTGCCAAGATATCGATCAATAGAGTGACGCAGTCAAGCTGAGCGACTACACGCTATGTGTTATGACTTGTTTTGCCGTGCTAAAAAACTAATTGTTGAGTTCACCTGCTTTTGTCAGATGCTGGTATTTATTTGATTGCTTATCATTTTTGCATGTCTCAAGATATGGTTTAATATGCCTTTTATCATCTGTTGAGCCGTAAATGGCCATTTTTCAGTAGCAGGTAAACATCTCTGGTATCTCAGCTGATATACCCCTGCCAAACCCCTATGTTTACAACCGATCGGCTGTGGCGGCGGGACATTTTGGGCGGGTCACTTCCGGTGAAACGCTGAGCCCTTCTAGGGTTAAGTATGTAAATATGTGCACATTATACACCACAAATCAGAGCTAAGATTAACCATCTAAGTTTTAGACTAAAGAGGTAAGAAAGAAAAAAATATACAGGCGGAAACCGGTACCTAGTCTATAATTATGACAAAATTACAAAGAGAACCACAGAAAAAATTGACATCTCTTTATCTCTTATTAATTTGTGTGGGATGGGGGGAAAAAAGGATTCTATAGTGGAAACTTAAAACCAACTGCATACCTTACGCCATGAGGAGCATCTGCTGTGACATGAACTTCTAAGATGATTTTGTCATCTTTGATATAACCATTGGCAGGGTCAAGCACATCCTGGGGAAAACAATCCACTATATCATGACCGGTACTTGAGGCAAAGTCTATATTTCATATAATACAATTCCTTTGTAAATGTGCCACAGACATAACTTTTATATCATAAATATCAATATTGTATGGTATCGCACAATTTAAAAAAAGCCTCCTGTTAATTTAACTCAGCGTGAAAGGGCCAGCCTCAGCTGCACAAGAGGCATACCAGCAGGCAGTCAAATACATGATAAAATACCTCCCAAGCACAAGAGTCAATCACTCATCTTTCCGACTGCAATGTGAGGCGGCTAACAACTTCACAAAAACAAGAATCCATATTTCTAAAAAATGAAAAAGCACCAAGAAATAGAAACTGTTTAAAGAAACAAGTGAAAAAGCAGGCATCAGGCAAAACACGCCTACTTGAGTTTCAGAGGAAAATCTGTCAGGGACCCTCAACCCCACTTGATGTTTAAGACTCACTCACTCCTCATAGCAACACACGCCTACTTGAGTTTCAGAGGAAAATCTGTCAGGGACCCTCAACTCCACTTGATGTTTAAGACTCACTCACTCCTCATAGCAAAAGACATTCAGATGACCACCTGCCCAAACAAACCCTATCGAACAAGCAGGATAACTTCCACATTCACCACTAGATATGAAAAAAAAAAAGACATTCAAATTCTGATCAGTTTAAAAACTTTCATAAGCAAAGACAAAAGGATAGAAACAAATACCTACACATTGTCCCCCAGAATAATAAGATTTTCAATTTGATTAAAGAGTTCGAAAGATTTCTTAAAAAACCCAAAGATACAAAAGAGTTTAAAAGATTTCTTAAAAAACCCAAAGATACAAACTACAAAGAAAGAAAACTTTGACCTTTGATAGTTTTACACCTCTTGGTCACTTACTTGCCATGCCATGAAGTGACTGAATCCCCAATCATTTTCTTTGTGGTAAAACAGATGCTGAATGTCTGCGGAGAAAGATTCACCTTAATGAAATAGGGTGGATTAAAATCACATTCTTCACAAACTACTCTTCCAACCAAATTGCCCAGAGGCAAATTAGCTTCAAGTTTGGATAAACAAACCATGACACAATAATGGTTATTTAGTGTGGGGAAAAGGAAGACACACAGACAGAAAGCAAAGAAGTAAGAAAGACAAACCCCCCCCAAATCACCTGCATAGATATGGCTGAAACTAATCAAATTAAGGGGTGAGAGGGCTGAGTTTAATGCAGGACAAAATGATTCCAATAACAGTATAAAAATGACAATTTCTTCAAATGTGAAGCACCTTACCCAAAGTAAGCTGCAACCCTTCAAAAAGTTGTTCACCATAGTACAGTAATTTTAAACCCAGCTAACGAACAGTTGTTGCTGTACAGCTGTTCACAAAGAGACTGCACAACAGCCAACTTTCTGCTGGAACTTATCATAGCAATAATACCATCCATCAACTGTCCATGTAAGGGAATGCGAGACTCACTTCTCTTGCAGGGTTCCCCTTCTGGGTCCCACTTGAGCATCCGGAGTTCTGCTGAAGCATGGCATGACCATGAGGTGGATTCGGTCTCTCCATTGCACTGAAGAAAGAAGCCGAAACTTCTCTGCCGTTCTGCACTCTGGTTCTTTCGAGGCATTGCCATTATTTTCCTGAGAGAATAAAAAGCAAAAAGCAAAGATTGGTCAAATCCCAAAATCGCAGCTCTTACACGCAAATTCAGAAATAAACAGTAAGTCATATTTTAACTCCAGTGGCATGACAACATGGCTTTCGCTAGAAAAATGATCCCCTTAACGTCTTTTGTAAAGCAAGGTCAAACAGTGTTTCTTGTAACATATTATGAACACAAAATAACACATGCATAAAACCCCAACAACTCACCATGGCAAATTTCTGACCATGCAGGGTGGACTGAGAACTGACTCTTCCAGTTTGCTGAAGTTCTCCACCACAAACTGGAATGTGGCTTCAGCTCGACTCTCATCTGAAAACAAATAAAAATTTTGGTAAGCAAACATTATTCCAACAAAGCTTACATAAAAGCTACCCTCCTTTATGTTGATAAGACATTAGGTGTCATTTCTTACAATTGCACATGACAGACTTTATACTCTTCTAATTTGAAGATTTTTGCATTCAATAAACAAAATTAACAGTTGCAAAATTTCATCTGAAAGGATTTTGTTTTTTTATTCCCAGTATTCTTATCTCGTCACTGCATGCACAAGGAGAAAAAACTCAAGTATGATAACTGCATTTTTTGGGGGTGATCGTGCACAAAGAGAACGGATGAATTCTTAAGTTTGTTAAGTGATAACAAGGGTGAAAATTTTCTACTGATATTGGTATGTCAGCAAAAGAAAACGGGTGAAGAAAATAAAAAGCCAAAAGATGCTGATCTCTGCAGAAATTGGGGGGGGGGGGAAACAACAACCCCCCCCCCCCAATATAAATGTAAAGTTATTAGTTGTTAAGTTGAACAATTCATTAAAACCTTAATGTTGCTGGTCCCCCATCGATGCACAACGATTAATGTGTTCCGATACCCTTATTTCAAATAAACACTTTTATCATAAAATTTACTAATAAATAACAATAATTCTATTTGATGGTATTGAAAATCATTGTGCTTCTAGAAAAAACATTTGATAGCAAAACAGGAAATTTGACCTCATATGTTTCTTTCACTCGATAGATCATTCGTGATTAACTGTCTAGAAAGTTTTCTTTGAATGCATGTAAACACTTGTATCAACTTATTACAAGGGGTAATTCATGTTTTGTAACACCTCTTTATAAATCTCAAGCTTTTCTGTGCTGTAAAAGATGGGGCGTCGTTTGTTTTAGTCAAGAGTTTTACAGCGTTTGCAGCTGCATAAGGTCAAATGAGCGCGCGAAAAAGGGATGGTTCTTTTCGCAACAGTACACTGCACAGCTCGATTCTGGTCAACACCTCAATTAAAATGCTAAAATACTATGGGGTGTCATTTTCATTGTTGATTAACACATCCCAACAGTAATCACAGTGAAAACACACGTTTCCTTGATCTCCACTGGCACATGTGCTGAGAGCAGAGCCAAACGCCCGTGGAGAATGCTGGATGTACATAGAAGAGGGTCAATGAAGAGTAAGAGTTGCTTCCACTGAGCCTGCAGGGTGTGAGTTAACCCTCCCAGCAAATTAATTAGCAATGGTTGTGAAATGTGAATTACCACAAATACTCCTACTTCTAAGCACAAATAATATTATCTTGAACTCAAACCATTCATCCAAAAATTATTCATGTACCTTCCTCCATTTCCTCATCATTGTTGGTGGCTGCTGATTTTACCTCACCATTTATTGCACCTTGATTTTCACTGCCATTATGACAGTTATTACCTGAGGAAGACAAAACAAATATAACAAACATTAATTTACTAAAGTCACTTCTACTGCCTGAGGAAAAATGTACTGACCCGTTGCTACAACAATGTTTCTCTAGAAATTATTTTAACTTGAAAATGTAAGCCCATTTAAGTATATATACATTTGTTATGCCTCTTTTGACAACGGTGACCATATTATTGTGTCAATCTTGAGGAAAACAGTAGTGTCATTTCTTTGTTCCTTACTGGCATTGCCTTAGAGGGCCCATTTCGTTCTATCCATGCTCAGTCAAGAATTTAATTTTTAAAGAGACTGATGAAATATTAATGAAATGAATCAATGCATTACCTTAAAGATTCTCTCAATTTCTGTAACATACACTTTCCATACTGCATCTGTCATGGTGCGCCGAAACTTTTTTCAAATGATCAGTTCAAGAACATGTGTTATGACATGGCAGAATCAGGTGCTCGTAAATTTTTTGTTTTTTTGTTTTTGTAAAGTGCTTTACGGCGCTTGCAACTGCATAAGGTCATATGCAGGACACTCCTAATATTTTCAGTAGGTATGAAATTTTGAATTTTGCCCTGGTGGCGGCCGAAGCCTACTCTTATCGATTTTAGACCACCAAGGGATCTTTAACGTGCGCAACTTGCACACGGGCCCTCCGAGATTTTTCGTCCTTGTCCGAGAAGGCTAGGTGTAGATCTTTCCTACCAGAAGACCAGGGGTGTGGCTGAAAGACAGCAGTAAGAAGAAGCGAAGGAGTAGTAGTAGAAAGGCTGCAGAAAGAATCAGGAGCCCAGAGGAAGGGGCAAAGGAGGTGAGGGGGTGGGGGTAGAAAGAGGAGACGAGAGCAGACGACAGAACAATGCTAGAGAGCAGGAAATGAGGTGAAAGGAGACAAATTTAGAGAAGAAAATTGTTCGGTCACTACCCGGGACCTTTTGAATGAGAGGCCAACACCTTAACCTCTACGCCACACAGTCAATTTTTAGGCATATGAGGTTATGGCATCATCTTAAAGCCTGTTCATTTGCCTTCCTTTGGGTGAAAAAAAATCCACAGATGCTGAATAACAGTCGAGATATTTGCGATTGAAAGAGGTGAGGTCGCCTGGTTTCAGTGGTGAAAATAGTGAGAAAATGGCCGCCAAAGTTTGGTAACTTCAATGGCTAATGAGTCCCTGAAAACTATAAAATGACATACTTTGTGCCTTTAATCAATGTTTTTTTTAGTAACCTTCACAAGGAAATATGTTTTCACAGGTGGACTTACAAGGGGTTGTGCCAAAAAGCAACATTTCTATAGAAATTGCCTAATTGGCGGAAAAATGCCTTTTTCTCCGATTTCGTTATTTTGACAAGCGCCTGATTTCTGATTTCACCATGATGCCTCACATATATTTACATTGAGTTTAAAAACATGTTATCTACAATTCTCATTCTTTTGCCCCATCATAGGTAAATTATTAGTGTTATATCTACCATAAATTAAAGCAGTCAGGATACTTGATCACTTCCTTAATTCTAAAATATTGCTTCATTTCAAAGGGAATGAATGACCCAAAGTATAAAAAGATTAGGCTACACTATTTAAATGTTGTTTTGTGTCACTTGATTAAAAAAACGCCTTTCCTTCATAATATATCAAAGATAGTCACAGTGAGTCGTCAAAAAAGCCCAGACCTGGAGACCCAAAAGGGCAACACTTGAAGAGACCTTAATTTTATATCTGCACCAATTTAATTGTAAATGGTTGACTCATGATGAAGAATTGTTTGAAGGGAAAGGGGCTATTTCTAAAGCCCGAGCCTTGACAGCTAGGCTCTAAACTGCCACTTTATAACTTCTGGCTGTAGTTATTCGCACAGGGTGTGTACTGTATGAATACTATGGAATTGTATTCGCACAGGGTGTGCGAATACTACGAAATTTTATTCGCACAGGGTGTGTGAATACTGTGAAATTTTATTCGCACAAGGTGTGTGAATACTACAAAATATTGGCACAGGGCGTTTCAAAAGAAGGATGGAAATTATCTAGATTCTAGATCTAGCATTTCCTCATTTTTCCTTTTTTCACCCTCTTTCGCATAGGGACAAAGATCATGGGATCTAGCAATCTAGATCTAATTCTAATTGTGCAAAAAAACAACAACAACCCCAACTGAAATTGGAATTCAAGTTGTGTATTGTGTCAATGATAATAGCAATGCCCACCGAGCGCGTTTTGTTCTGCCGATTTTTGGCCCCCGCAGCGGGGGTGTTTCGTGGGACGCACTAACGCAAAGGTTGTTGTCTTCAACTCGCTCTCACGCCGCTTCTCGTGAATAGATATGAATGAAACTTGGCAGCCAATCAGAAAAGAGGTCAATCTCGTAGTATGCAGTTTGACAACATTGTACCCATTCTGCGAAAGTGGTTGATGTGGTGTGCTTTGAAGATTTTTCGGAGCTGTGATTTGTCAAACTGACTGATACGTTGTACACCATTTTTCTTTATTCCCTTAAAATTTCAAGTTTCTGTGTTAAGCGGTTTTAGCGTAATCTTTAAAAATGTGGGAGTAACTAAGGGAAAAAGTGGCATTGCCATTTGCGCACCGACCTGCTGCTGGGAAATTTCCACTAAGTGACGTCATCAGCCATCGGTCGTCTCGGGCGCTACAAACGAGGCCCCGCTTATGTGAACCGGAAAGGGGGGGAAGGATACTTGAAAACTAAACGGGGGCCTTGATAACTTGCGTTTTTGTCGCATTTTAGTCACAATACAATAGATCTCGTCATTTTTATTTGCTTGATTGCATGACAGAAGAATAGAAACAGAAAAGCAAACATCTTGAGAAGTGGTATGGCATTGTGTTTGCGTTATGAAAGCCTATTCCCCCCTCTTGGGAAAGCACACACTTGGACTCGTCCTGTGTGCTCTGTTTGGAAAAGTGAGGCATTAACTCTTATCCTGCGTCTGTGCCCAGATGCGTATCTTATCAGCAACCGATTACGTCGGACTCGCCGGGCAGGCCGCCAGGGTCACTCAGTGTGTACTGTTGGTGTACAGCATGCGCACCGGGAAACGTGTGTTTTCGCCATGAATACCGCGGGAGTGTGTTAACTGATGATGAAAATAACGCTCTATCCTTCATAACATTCTATTTATAAAGTGTTACAAACACATGAATAACCCCCTCTCACAAGCTGATAAGACATTACGAGTAGTTACGCCCATTTGAATAACCTTTCTGGACGCTCTTGTTGTTATGAATGACCTGAGGTTCGAAAAGGGATAATTTAGGTCAATTTCCGAATGTTTTACACTCAAATTGTTCTTTGTACCTGCACAAGGGTATTCAAAACTATTAAACAAGCTTATCTTTTATCAGGTAGTATAATTTCATACAAAATCAAGCTCATTTGAAATATTTTGTATAGAAAAATGGAAGTCTTGTTTCCTGACTATCCTTTCGAGCTCCTCATGTCTAAGTGGGTCAATTTCTTCTATAATTTCATTGGACGAACATCTAGAGCTATCAACTTGGCATGTTTTGAATGAGACGTATGCCTCGATTACGAACCAACGCAGGTGGTTCTAGAAGAAGGCCACAAACGCACACAAACTCAAGCAGACTGACGCACACACACTTGACCTGCGTGAATGGGGATCTGACTCGGGACCCGAATGACACGTAAGAGGATGCGCGCTGCGCGTGCGCTGAGCCAGGAGCTACACTGACTCGGGACCAGAACGCAGGCGAGGTGCCGAAATAGGCTTATCGGGCTACATAAACCCGGCTCCCGCAGGATGAGGGTTAAGATTGTTATTAAAGAGTATGGTACTCCAGTCTGGGAAGATAGTCCCGTTTATACATTGTTATAGATATTCCAGATATTCCCGTTTATACATTGTTATCGTTCACGCGCGCGTGTGTATGGGAGAGAGAGAGAGAGAGAGAGAGAGAGAGAGAGAGAGAGAGAGAGAGAGAGAGAGAGAGAGAGAGAGAGAGAGAGAGAGAGAGAGAGAGAGAGAGAGAGAGAGAGAGAGAAGGGGGGGGGGGTGTAAATATGTTACATTTACTGTATGAGTTGTAGCCTACACATGCGAAATATTCCCATGACTTGTAAACTATATTATCTGAACGCATCTTAATCTACCACACAATAGGACAATGTCCAACAATGGATATACACAGAGACGATCTTATTTTCTATAACAAAGTATGCATGCTTTTACTAGTATAGAACTGGATTTATAAGTAGCTCTCTACTTACATTTTTGTGACAAATTGATCCAAAGCATTGCTTGGCAAGGAGGAACCTTTTATGTTGCCAAGTTTCATTCAAATATCATGACTTTGGGAGAACATATGACTGATAATCTTTGTAAATCTGTAAAGAACGCCACTTTTTTTTACCTGTTAATGTCTTTTACAACCCAAAAAGTATGACAGATATTAAAAATCTGACTGCATGACTAGATTCTGCATTAAAAAATGTACTAGACTGCCAGGTTTCATTTACATATTCCAAGAAATAGGCGAGGTATGACAAATATTGTCTCAAAACGCACCGGAAACCGCCACATTTTTACCTATAAACGTCTTCATAACAAAAAAAATAGGATAGCTATGAAAAATCTGAAAGCAGGACTAGATTCTGCACTACAAAATGTACTGGGTTGCCAAGTTTCTTTTAAATACTCCGAGAAATGAGCGAGTTATGACGAATATTGTCTCAAAACTCACCAAAGAACGTCCCATATTTTGGGGTTTTTTCATTATATAAAAGTGGGTAAATTTTTACTTTCACTCCCGCACACAGATGCACTGTTTCAGGGGTCAAACTGCTGTACTGTTTGCTGCAGATCACACATAAAGCCACTAAAACTGTCGCAAAGCAATTATTTTCAAGACAATTTCAAATCTAACTGTAAAATATCAAAATATGGGTAAAAACAGGGGGGCATGCCCCCCTGTAACCCCCCAGATTTTCTTTTACCCCAGTGGGGCAGGCCCTCCTGGAACCCCCCAAAACAATTAAATATTTCAAAAACTATTAATTTGCGACGGAAATGAAGTTGATATTCGTGTTCAGCGCATCAATATTTAGTACAAAATAGACAATTGGTAGCTGAGTGTGAGACGGGAGGGAAAGTAAAAAAATACCTAAAAGTGTACCAGAAATTAATTAATTAAAAAATCTGTAACTTTTTTGTTTATTGATGGATTTCAAAAATTCAAAAAGTTCCATGCTCAGTGAAGATAAAGCTTCAAAATGCACCTATTTGCAAATACTTTCTGGCAAAAAAAGGATTTTTGTGGTCATTGCTAATGATAATGACTCAACAAATCTCTCTTTTTTTCATTTTTTTTTCTGTTTTTCTTGCGTTAACAGAGAGAGAGAGAGAGAGAGAGAGTCAGAGAGAGAGAGAGAGAGAGAGAGAGAGAGAGAGAGAGAGAGAGAGAGAGGAGTGCACGCTTACTTTAACCCTAAATCTGAAACAAGTTATACTAGAGATCTAGATCTAATCTAGATCTAGTGTCCAGTTGTTTAAATATTTAAAGCCTTTGCCAGAAGGTGGGATACCAGGGTGTGACAAACGAGGTCCAAAATCAACGTAGGCTTGACCCTGTGCGAATAAAATTATTTCTTATTCGCACACCGGGTATGAATAATATTAATTCTTACTCACACACTCGGTGTGAATAAAATGAAATCTTGCGCGCACACCCGGTGTGAATAATCACTTCCATAACTTCTTGTGCAAGGCTCTACTCTATGAAACACAACATATTTCAGGAACTTTCAGAAACTGTAGGCCTCGACTTGACCACAGCATTTCATTAGGTAGGCTTACATGCTAGATCTAGATTAGAGCTTAATTTGAGACTAAAGCAGTCGATAAGTATAAGTGCAGAACAGTTCACAAATATTATAGATCTAAAAATAAAAGGCCTTCCAAATAGAAAGTAAAGAATGCTCTCTCCACAGACTAAGAAGTTACATCAGTTACAATTGACCTGGCAGTAGGCCTACAGAATCAGAAATTACTTTTAAACACAGTCAAAAATGCAATATAAAACATAAGTCATACTCATACATTTACAATTGTACAGGTAGACTATAGATCTAGATCTATATCTAGGCCTAGGAGAAGGAGTAGATAGATCTATGTGTTTCGATTTGCCCAGGCCCTTCTGAATTCTTGTACTCAGTTTTGATATGGTGGAACATCATCAATTCAAGTTGTTCTAAATCAGAGAGAATGCTGATCAGATGCTGATAGGGGGCCTACTGTTGACGTTGTCTTGATTTTCTACTTCGCCAACTTGAGAATCATTTAGCCAATGCCAAATTCAAGACGCCAACACTTTCATCATCAGCAAAATAGCATTCAAGACATGTTTCAATAGAATACGCACCATCCTGATCAGTGTCCATTTCCTCCGCTTCTGTTTTGATCCCATCGTTGTCGTTTACATGGTTCATCATCGTGTTGTTCATATCATTAGTCTGCGGTGATGTGACCGTTTGTTTTTCTCGCCCGGGAGTCAGAAGACTTCTCTGCGAGACGGTCCTTACGTGCTTACTAGCAATTCGCCCAATGTCTGCAGATTCGACCCCTTTGACGGGGCAAACTGCTATGAAACAAAGTGAATAGATCTTCAGAAGACCGAGTACGGCGCCGGGATGTGAACAAAAATAAACAAGATGGCGGTCTCGCGGTTAGGGGCAGTATGGGGGGTCGATTACAATAATGCTCATCACATTCGAATTCTTACCGTCCTTTGGAGAAACCTTCGCTGTCATAGCAGAAACTGACTGTTGACGAAGCACATTAATTTTAGCCAGCAGTAAGCTCAAATCTCAATGGCGATAAAAAAAATAACGAGTGCGGCCACTGAGGTAGCAACTTCTTCGTCAGTGCAGGATGATAATAAATACCAATTTGCCGTTTTTCGCCTAAAGACCCTAAATCTACCTTTAGCCAACAAATTAATCTCTAGAGTTCAGTCATGGCTACCCTCTATACAATTTTATAAGCATGAACATTGTAAACCCCACGGAAAATGATCACAAACTGTTTTGAATAGAAATTTAAAAAAAACAACTTTTTCTGCCAAAAGCTAAAATTGTGAACTCAAGATTCATAAAGCTTTTTGAGAGGTAAGTTGTACAATTCATTCTTCATTTATCTCTTGGAATTATTTAAAACATGAAAAGAAAATAGTTCTCTTAGATTATCAGCTCAGTTGTTGAGTGGGGCCTCGTTTTCTTTGGTTTTGCTTTGGTTTCTAATTTTGAGAAAAAATTTGCTGAACTCTGTTTACTATAATGAAATCTGGCTACTTTTTTAGTCTGCGCTTGCGCTGATATCTTTTTCCGTTAGAGATCGACTGTCAATACGACAGTCAGAAGGAACTTCGGTAGGAGAGTACTCAGTTCGCCACTTATCCTCTGCGTGATTTATATGTGTACATAACTGTATATATTCTTTAAAATGAGCCAAGAAGATAATTATGATAATGAACAGTCTCCTGATCATTGGTCTTCTCGATTTGAAGACGAATGTTTTGGGGAACTGGAGGCTCAGGGTGGTGTCGAGTCAAGAGTACAGTCAATCGAAGAACACACAGCTCAGCAGCTCTGGTTGGGATTTCAGCAAACGTCGACTGCCATAGCCCAATTATATAATTTTAAAGGTATTTATATATTGTGTTTTGTATTCTGTCGTTTCAATTTGTGGCTAGTGCTCTCGAGTGACCTGTTGTTACCCCAGATGTTTGCAAAGTTTCACAGTAATGGATGAAGATGGCCTATTTTTAGATGTGGCCCAGTTCTCAGTCACCCAAGCCCAAGACCCAAGATTTAGTCTAATTTAGATAGATGCTACTCTCGGCCTCTCTTGACTCAGCAAGGATTTGAGATGGATCCAGTCGAATATTTTATTTGACCACTTCCAGGCTGACAGGAGTTTAGAGAGGATGAATATCATTATCTAAAAAAAAATAATGGTAAGATGAGGCTGTTTGGAGGGCAATTTGAGAGAGTTCAATCAGGGCGAGAACTCTCCTCAAGACTAGATCTAGACTGTAGAGTAGATCTAATTCTAGATCTAGAATCTAGATTCTAGGTCTAGATTTCTAGATCTCCTCTAGATTCTATCTCTAGAATCTAGATCTAGAGTACCTGGCCCAACCCGCGACCACTTGTCGTATTTTGCTTGTCAGCGGTCTCTCTCACATGGGTCTCAATAGTCCGCTATTTAGAATTTAGCGGATTTCCGCTACCGCCATTTCCACCACTAAACTCCGCTACCGCGACAGCGGGCCAATCAGAAAGAGAGTTGTTGGGAGCAGGGTGACTGCCAGGCCCAGGGAATTTTTAAAAAATGGCCTAGACCCGGAAAAATACATGAA